AGCTGTGTGTCAGAGTCTCTGTGGCTAATCTAGGGGGAATATCCCTTTAAGGCCAGATGTGGTTCTGGTTCTGCAGTGAACCTGTCAGCCCAGATGTTTGTGTTTCTAAAGCTGCTGCAGAAGCAGCTGGTCTGAGAGCAGCAGATGAAGAGAAATGGATTCTGACCTTCAGCTCTGATTCTGTTTGACAGAAAACAAGGAGGGAAGAAAAGAAGATGGAAGCAGAAACAAACATGTTGGACTGATTGTTGGAGCCGTTCTGATGGTTTCACTGGTTACTGGGTTGGTTCTTCGTCTTTATTTAATGAAGCAGATGAACGAGGAAGCAGATCCAGATCAGATCAGAACCAAACTCTCAGCTTAGAACTTTCTAGAACCTCCAGTGGATCCAACATGGATCTGCAGCCGTTATGAAACGTTGAAGCTTCAGATTATTGATTATTGTTACTGATCACAGAAACATTTCATCTGTTTTCATTCAGTCATTTCTATGCTTTTATTTTGTTGCTGCAGCTTTTCTACTTGTTTTATTAATTTATTTTTTTTACACAGACCAGCTCTGATCTGATTTGTAATTTATATCCTAATTAATGAGATTAATTTAAACCAAAAGTTTCTCTCCACCACCAAGAATTGATTCTGTATTTTTATCTCTAAAATGAGCAAAATGACAAATAAAAATCAATTGTTGCTCTTTATGTTTTGAATGTTTTGAGATGTTTTTTCTAACTTTAATTTTTATCTAAAGTTACATCAGTAAACAGGAAGTAGAAAAATATGAATCTGTTACATTATGATCAGTTAATGCAGAAATTAATTATTTACAAATGATGTGCTGAGTGTTGAGTCAACTGAATGACATCATCAACCTGTCAGTAAATAATTAACTCAACCTGAAGTGAAGATCAGGATGAAGCTGCTGATCAACTGATCAGATCAATATTTAATAATCAGAAATAAACACATTTAATTAAAGGAAACTTTTCACATCAGAACCGAATAAAGACAAAAAGGAGAAAAACTAACTTTGGCTGCTGAGCAGCTTTTAGTCAGAGCTTAGAGCGCCACCATGTGGACAAAGAGAAACATTTCAGAAGCAGTGGCTCTGCTTTTACCTCCAGATTTAAGTCACTAAGTGATTTAAATCTCATTTATTTCTTTGATCAAACAAACGTTTAGAACATCTAAACTCTGAAAAAAGATGAATTAAATGACAGTTTTGATCAAATCTGCTGAGAAAATGCAAAAACTTAAAACTAAAAGTTAAAATATGGAGTCCAGACATCTTTCTATAAAAACTGATTTATTTACAACATTTTAACACCATAAACACAAAAAATGAAGCAGATAAAATGATCACAGTAACAAAACTTTTGAGTTTTTAGACAGGAAGAAGGTAAACTACATCCACCCTGAGGCCAGACCAGAGAGACATTGGTTGCCATTGACAACAGGACACAGCGGTGGAGGAGTGATGCTCTGGGCCTGGTTTGCTGCGTTCACATCAACCAGGAACTGATCTGGTTACCAAAGTGATGAAGAATGAAATGTGAGGTCATCTCAGCTCAAACATTTAAACATTTAGTAAATCCAGATCTACCAAGTATTTTGTCTCCATCATTAAAGTTTTCCTTCCAGTTTTTCTCCTCCCTCTCTGACTTTATCACCCTGTAAAAGCAGAGCGATGTTTCTGTGTTTAGTTTTATCAGCTGGTTTAAAAAAATGTTTATCTAAATATACCTGTGAAAATAATAAATCATTTTATCAGTAACAATCAGCTGATTCAGCATTTAGACACAATAACTGATCAATACGTCTGACAGTTTTTAGAGATGATTTAAAACGGGAAACTGAAACAATAAACAGATTAATATAATTATTATATATTAATTCATTACAATCTTACATTTTCCTCATCAGAACATTAAATCTAACCTGTTTCTGTGGCGGCAAAATTATCATCAACCAAACTCAAGTGAACAAAACTTTTATCTGCACTATATTTTCCAGCTGCACGTGTAGAATGATTATTTTTTGTTTTTCTTTCTTTTCGGAGTGTGTAGCAAGGACACACCGTGTGTGTGTGTGTGAGTTTACAAGGCAGTTCGCAATACCGCGTCTAATGCTGACAGGAGACGCAAAACATTGAGCTACCAGAACGATTCAGACAGGAAAACAACCTGGAGAAGGTTAAAAGTTATAACTGCACATATGGGAAACACACTATCATGAACTAATTGTTGTGTTTTTCACTTATTCACAAGAAACGTGTATTTAAGTAAAATGTTTTATCCAACTAACTCTAAATTATATAAACGGATCCACATGAAATATAATAAACTTACTCGGTTGGTTTTTCTTTTATCGGCCTCAACACTTAGTTGCTTTGTTAACCGATGTGTTCAGGTCTCTGCGTTACGTTGCTGCTGATCTCTGAAGCTACAGACCAGATCTAGCAGCTTTCACGACAGACAGCTGTGCATCTGATTGGCTGTCATTCCACATGGCTCCTCCTACAGAGGCTCTGATGCCTCCAGTGAAAACAGTATAAAGTGAACCTGGTCCTACTGCAGCACATTCAACACATTTTCAGTAAACTGCCAGACAGTAGGACGGATCGACTGACTTCATGGCTGTTCTCTGGATTTTGGTCTTTCTTTCCTTTCTGGATGTTCTTCACTGTCAGGTACAGTTGAGTCTTTACTGTCTTTATAGGACACAACTAGCAGAGTTAATAGTTTCTATTTATTTTGGCTCCAATTGATCAAATCAATATTTTTATCAGAGGGATATTGGACTATTTTTCGCTCCATGCTAGTAACAAATCATTATAAATGATTTGAACAGTTCACTCATTTTCATTTCTTCAGTATTTTCACTTGTTGACAGTTGAAATCTGCATCCAGACGAGGCTTTGACTCATTGAATGGATTATCAGGACTTCCTTTGATCAGATCTTAGTCTCTAAAACATTTATGAAAATAAATAAAACTTAGTTTGTTGTATAAATACAACAAAGATTGTTGAAATCTTTGTTGTATTAATAGGAACAAAAATATGATTTTAAGGTCATGAATTAAACATTTACACATAAAGGAAAGATTTAACAGAACTTGTCTATTTAAAAAAAAAATCTTTCTTTATTGAGATTCCAGTTTTATGTGTTTATCAAAAATAGTTTAAGCTGTAAGTAGAATTAAAATCAAACTATCAGATTGCAAACTGAAGAGAGACAACAGATTGTTTATGATTGTTGGGCTGAGGAAGTGATGTGAATAAAAAAGTTGTTGAAACAATGAAAACATGAAACTGTAAAACATTTGAAGGTTTAACTTGAATTGAGGTTATTTAGAAAACAGTTTTATTTTAACTCAGAAATTACAATTCAGCAAGTTGACAGGTTCTAATTTAAACAAACATTTGTGTCACATTATGTAATAAAACTGTTTTCACCTATTTGAACAACTATTTTGCCTCACATTTTAATTTAACATAATTTACTGTATTAACCTAAATAAATATCCAAAGAAAAAAAACAACAAAACTAAACTTTGAAATTCTGAAATGTTTTTCTGTACTGATTTATTTATGGGAGCATTATAAGGTTCAGGCTAGAAGTTTCTCCTTTACAAAGAAAAAGACTATCAGAATGTAATTAAAAACACCTTTAAGTCGCCGTAACCATGGAGAATCATTTCCTGAACCTCGGCTCAGTCTAGTAGCAACCTGACCACAACCACCGTCTGTGGGTTTTTGTTGAGCAGTGAATGTTGTTGTGGTTTTCCTCTTCCGTTTAGAAATGAAAAAGAGGAAGTGTTACATTAAAATGACATGAAACTGATTTCCTTTTTCTTCCTCTCAGCTCCAACTTTAAGTTGCAATGACAGTTCAGGAAACACAAAGATTATAAAAAGGAGGGTTCAGTTTTCAGGAGTCTGAAAAATAACTAAATATTTGTTACAATATAATAATTCATTACAATCTTACATTTTCCTCATCAGAACATCAAATCTAACCTCATGTTTCTGTGGCGGCAAAATTATCATCAACCAAACTCGTTTGAACAAAACTTCTATCTGCACTATATTTTCCAGCTGCACGTGTAGAATGATTATTTTTGTTTTTCTTTCTTTTCATTCTCAAAATAAAAGATATAATCAAGCTTATTAGAACCATCACAGCTGCTGCTGCTATGACTGTCACAGTGATGAAGATGATGCTCCTTCCTCTCTCTGGTTCTGGAGTCAAAGTTGGTCTCTGAGTTTGGATCTGATCAGCAGCTGCTGGAGAGAAACCAGAAATATTTATTAATATTTGATGAAAACTGAGATCCAGGAGGATTCATGATGAAGATGAAGATGTTGGTTCATCAATACAGATCTTAAGAATTTAACAATTAAACAGAAATGCTTTAT